GCTCTCTCTCACCTCCATCTTCAACCTCCATAGCTCAAAATCCGACCACCCCTACCATTTTCCGGCAAGCCCTCGACGTCGGCGACCACCACCTGTCATCGACCCGCTGCGACACACCGGAAAATCGCGAGCCCAGCCCTGTGCCGCACCTCCCGAGCTCAGCCAGAAAAAAAACGCGAGCCTTTACCAGCACCAGCGAGCCCTTCCCTTCCCGCACAGGTGACCCTAGCACAACCTACGTCTGTGTTGTCCCGTTCTAGTTCCGGCGTCCTTGAGCCACGCGCCACCAGCTCCGCCCGTCCAGCTCCGATTTCAGCCGATTTGCGCGTCGTGCAGCTCGCCTCTGTCATCGAGCTCGTGACTCCGGTCACCCCTGCCATACCGTAGCGTTCCAGCGCCCTCAGCCCCGGTTCGACCCAGCTGCTCTGAACTTGCGGCTCTAGCCTTGTCCTCACGTGCGCGAGCCACCGGCAGCGAGCCCGACGAGTCGTGCTTGTGCTCTAGCTGCACCTAACCGGGTCCAACAGCCCGTAACTGACCCTAGCTTCGTCAACGCGTGCCCGAACCGTTTTGATCTGTGCGAAATGGGCCAGCCCGAGCCGTTTCAGTCCCTACTGAGCAAGTTCCGGCTAGAACCGAGTTGTTTCCGGCCAAACCCAGTCCAGCCACTCCAGATCCGTCCTGACTTAATCTTGGTCCAAGCGGTTCAGCCTTCGGTTCGACCCATTTCAGCGAGCCGGTCCCGGTTTGCAAAAGCCGACCCCTTTTCCCTCTAGGCGATCAATTTTCGATTTCCCGATCCGAACCGAATTAAGGTTAAATGGATTGGGCCTTTCTCCATGAGCTTAGATATAATTATTAAGATATAAAAAAATGTGAATTTGAGAATTTGAGCAATTTACGATCTATTGGGATTTATCGAGCTTGAGGTTGATTTTTCGAGCATTTTATAAAAATGCGATATAATAATGAAATAAATTTTATAAAATTCGTTTCGATGTCTTGAGGCTTAGGTGCGAATTTAAGAAATTTTAGAGTTCGTTGGATAGATGAACGAGATTTTTGAATGATTCGATCGGTTGAAGCGATGACTAGTTGAATGTGTTAGGAGTTGAATTGAGTTGCGATATTTTGACCATATATCGTGTATATGTTGAGGATGTTGTGTTTCGAATTTCGTAATTTTCGGGCACCGTTTGAGATAGATTAAAAATCGAGATGTTAACCTCATTTCGCGATATTTTAGAATATTAGCCAGACATGATTTTAGCTGCAGTTGATATTTATTTTAAAATCATTATAAATCACATAGAATATATATTAATTATTAGCCATCGTATCGTCAATTCGTAATGCGTATCGTCGTGTCGCGCACGTGACCGTCCCTCGTCTGACCGTTGGAGCCGAACCGCCGAGTGCGTGCCCGTGCACCGAGTCCGAGTCAACCTCCGAGTGCGTGCCCGTGCACCGAGTCCATCCGACTTGACGTCTACGCGGCGTTCCATTAGCCGTGGTCCAAGCACGCCCGTGCGTCAGTGACCGTGGCACCGTTTCAAACCGTGCATCGGCTAAGCCGTGTCAGTCGAGTTCGTGCCGGCCCGAATTGCCACGCCGAACTCGGACCACGTCAAACCGAGCTGCACATAGTCAAGCGAATGATCGACCGACTCCGAGTGAGCCGTCGGTCCAGTTCAGTCGAACCGGTCCGGTCAGTCTAGACGGTTCGAGATAAATTCCAAATATTTCTTTCAGATAAATTTGAGATTCAGCCAGATTAAAATTTCAGATTTATTTAAGATTCCAGATTTATTTAAGATCCAGATAAAGTTTAGATTTCAGTCAGATGAGATTAAGTCAGATTTTAGTTCCAGACTTGGAAATATTTTCAGAGAACTCTAGAATGCCTCAAAGACAATAATATTTTCAAAATCAGCCCGTAAATCCCTAAATGATTTTTTTTTAAAGCCAAGTGAGCGAACCTAGACAGATCAGATAATATAATTCGAGTTTTCAGTTTAAGATAAGTACTTAGAATATATTTTGTGCTTATATATTTTGTAGCTTGTAGAGAGTCGAGCCTCTGACAGCTGCAAACCGTTCAGATCTTGCATTTCAGCATATCAGGTGGGGACCCTGTACTGGGTATTACATCTTCTATAATCGCCAATACCATGGTTGAGGTATGTATGTAAGATTTCGCCCGATTAGCGGCAACTACCTAGCGAGTAGATCCTTTCTAGCTAGGTGAATCGAACGTTAGTTAAGGTGAGATAAGAATTATAGTGCAGCTTTGAGTTAAGTGAATTCAGAACCCTAGAGCAGCCTTGAGTTAAGTCTAATTTCAAATGATCTTAGAATAATTTTTCCATAAGGGGCATTGATCTAGAGATAGTTTTCGTCATAACCAAGTTTTTCGAATCCCCAGTTAGTATCAAGGACTCTAGTGCAGTTGTGAGTTAAGCTCCAACCTTAGAAGTGCATAAGAGTTAGTTTTTCCCTAGTATGGGCAACGACCTACAGATTAGGTCCTACGGTTGCTTATCGTGAGCTTAAAGACCTAGTGTCCTTCTCGCCTGTTAAGCAGTCAGTTGAGTAGAAATTATATGTAGTAAGTTGAGCAGCTATTAGAGATAGTCAGTTGAGCATCAGTTACAGACAATATACTTATTTATACGCATTTGTGATGTGTTCCATCATATTAGATGTATGCTTAGGTTGTGATGTGTTCTATCATATTGAATGTATGCTTAGGTTGCGATGTGATTTACCATATTAGATGTATGCTGAGGTTGGATGTGCTTATCATATCATATGTATGTTTAGTTCGTGATGTTGCCGTTATAGTTAGACAGTTGGGCAGCAATTATAGTTAGCCAGTCGAGCACCCATTATATATAGTAAGTTGAGCAGCTATTAGAGATAGTCAGTTGAGCATCAGTTATAGTTGTCCAGTCGAGCAGAAATTATAGACATGCAGCTGAGCAGCGGTTGTATGCAGTCAGCTAAGTAGCAGCTATAAGTAGTTTTGTCGATGTTAGTGCTTTGGTTGAATGCCTAATCTGTAGTAAAATGCTCATCATCATATTGTTTTCTTCTGAACCATTATGTACTTGCATATATGATGATGTCATGATATGTTATTATATTAGCTGTATATTTCAGTGCCGGTTCCGGCGGAGCACGTGGATTATTTATGCTCACGCCCCCGACTAACCATTTTTCAGGTGACGGTGTCGAGCGTAGAATGTGAGCCGATGATGTGGTGGTGGTCATAGCAAGGATATTTTTAGTAAACATGTCATGTATATTTTAGCATGTTTGAGTTATTATGTTTTGTTGATGCATGCTTACATTTGCTTCCGCACTCAGTATTTCAGTATCTAGAATTTCAGTCTATGCATGCTTAAATCCTGAGATGTTTAGAGTAATGAATTATACTCGGTTGCATGCCTAGTAGTTTAAAGATATTAAATATTAAAGATTTAAGATTAAAGTTGAGTAGCATCCCGCATATTAAAGTTAAAGTATTTTCGAAAATTAAAACAGAGTTTTCCTTTTATAGCGCAAAAAATTTACTCTGATTTTAGTAAGTCTAGGCGGGGTGCTACAAAAAAAGTCGAGGTATTTCGAATTGTTTGTCGACACGTCACTTCGCTTCGCTTCTTTTGTATGGTCGAGTATCTTCAAACTTGTGTTAAGCAAGAATTCTTCCTTTAATGCCTACAGTGACATACCCTTCATCAAGGCTTTCAGTTCAAGGCGTTCTTTCTCCAGTCTATGCAGACGTTAGGTCTCCGTCTCTGAGGTGGCTGGACGTTGAGAAACTTGGCCTTGGCTAGGGTTAGCCTGAGAGTTCGCGTAGCTTCCTTGGGGTTGATCGTGTCGCGAAACGCTTCGCGTCCTGCGACTGGTTTCCCCTCTCTTTTGTATCGCCATGAATCCTCTTCCTAAGTCGTCGTCCCCGCAGACGGCGCCAATTGATGATACAAGAAATACTTGACGTTAGTCCGAGAACAAATGTCGACGATGTATCCTCCGACGTGGCTCCTGGATGCGTCACCTTGGCTCCAACACCTGCAAAATCGAACCGGGGGTTGTCCTCAGGGGTAGATCCTCCGATGCCTAAGTTAGAAGACAATTTTTAATTAGGGTGGCGGCTGTAGAGTGAGTAGAAGAAGGGTCTGTGTGTCCCTTACCTTGACCTAGTTCATCCTTTTATATGGGTTGGATGACCTAGGTCTTTCCCTATGTAGAGTGAGGACTTCCCAGCCCACTAGCTTGGTGGACTATGGTCCACCAATTGGGTCACCTCGAGACCTCAGGCCTAAAGTAAGGCTTCTCAGGACCTTGGGCATAAATTTGAAGTTGAACTTCAACCTTGACCTTGAACACTGGCGGTCCTCAGAATACACGTGTTTTTATTCTCTCGAGACACGTGTCACCGAATAAATATTCATTTTTACCCTTATCACACATGAATATGATATTTTTGGGGGAATGATAATAATTTATTCCCAATATATTATCACCTCAATTAGACAAAACAATAGTCTTGCGCTGCCCCATATTATTTTGAAAACAAAAGAATTTCAAATGTGATGAATAATCATCAAGGACAGTTATTAAAGCAAAATGAGCCACTAAAGTAATCAAGCATTATAACTTTATATATACGCGAAAAATCCTCACTATCATCGTTTATGTATAGAGACGAAGTGACCACCTATTTTAGCACCTCGTTACGAAAATGAAGCCTCACCTCTTATGTTTCTGGGTTTGAATTTGCACTGACCTTCCAAATGTAATGGTCCTAATAAACTCCTTTCCTTCAAGTATTATTAACCTCCATATTAGCCTCATTCATTCATCTTCCCAAGGAACGGCCTCCTTTTATCTTTTCTTGCCTTTGCATGACTCTGCTGCTATAAGCAGCCTTGGGCTTGTCCCACCATATACAGAGTCATCATCATCAACAAAAACACAAAAAATAAAAAAGTAAAATGATGGTAATATTTTATCTCTTCCCATTTTTACTATCTTTTTCCGGCATCAACGGACAACTACCCACGGTCGAGGTTCACCACCACCTTTCGTCCGACGTCGTCGGACTCGAAACTAATATCGACGTCAATTTCTCATTCCCGAATCCCAGACTGAAGAGCGCTTACGTGGCTTTACATGCATGGAAAAAGGCTATTTATTCGGACCCATCTAATATTACGGGAAACTGGGTGGGGCCCGATGTTTGCTCATACAACGGCGTGTTTTGTGCGAACGCTCTCGATGATGACAACCTCACTGTGGTTGCCGGCATTGACCTCAACCATGCGGACATAGCCGGCCACCTCCCCTGTGAGATCGAGTATTTGGGGGACATTAGTCTTCTCCACCTCAACTCCAACCGCTTCTGTGGGATAATACCCGAAGGCATCAAGAAGCTGAAACTTCTCTATGAGCTTGACGTGAGCAACAACCGTTTTGTGGGCCCTTTCCCCGAGCCGGTTCTTGAGCTTCCCGAGTTGAAATATCTTGACCTTAGGTTTAACGATTTCGAAGGGGAACTACCGTGCGAGCTTTTTAACAAGCCGCTCGACGCCATTTTCCTCAACGACAATCGTTTTCATTCGACCATCCCGGAGAACATCGGCAACTCGCCGGCCTCGGTGGTGGTGATAGCCAACAACAACATCACGGGCTGCATCCCGGCCAGCATCGGGAACATGGCCGGAAAACTAGACGAATTGATCTTCTCCGGGAATAATCTCTCCGGCTGCTTGCCGGAGGAGATCACGCTGCTCAACACGACAACGGTTTTGGACATTAGTGATAACAACTTCTTCGGGGATTTACCCGTTGGCTTGGAGTATCTCCAAAGCCTGGAGGTCGTCAATATCGCGAGCAATAGATTTAGAAGCAAGGTGCCCGACACGATCTGCACGCTGCCGAGCCTGAAGAATTTTACTTTCTCGTTTAACTATTTCGATGCCAAAGACGAGGAGTGCGATCCGAGTGCATTGGTTGGGGTCGTTTTTGATGATGAGGAGAATTGTTTGGCAGGGGAGAAAAAGCAGAGGTCGGAAAATGAGTGTGGGTCAGAATTAAGCAAGAAAGTGGATTGTAGCAAGGCAGGATGCAGAGGGGGTGACAAGGGGAGCTCGCCAAAGCCCAGGCCTCCGAAAGGGTCGCCAGAACCGAAAAAACCTCCAACAAAGTCTGAGCCACCCATGGTATCTCCTTCACCGAAGCCGTCTCCTGTCCCAGCTTCGCCCAACCAGCCAGTGGTGGAGCCTCCCAAGACTTCTTCTACGAAACCACCACACTCTGACCCTCCAACTCCACATGCACAATCTCCTAAGATTGTTGTACCTTTGCCTCCAAAGGCACAACCTTCTCCAGCCCCAAAGGCGGCACAACCTCCTCCTAAGGCCGATGTACCTTCCATCCCCAAGGAACAACTTCCTAAGCCTTTTGTACCTCCAACTCCAAAAGTACAACCTCCTAAGATAGATGCCCCTCCAAGACCTCCTAAGGCTACTATGCCACCCACACCCAAGGCACAACCTCCAAATCCTAATATACCATCAATTCCAAAAGCACAACCTCCTAAGACTGACGTACCTTGGGCGCCAAAGCCACAACCTCCTAAGGTTATTGTACCACGAGCGCCAAAGGCACAACCTCCAAAAGTCAATGTACCACTGGCACCAAAAGTACAATTGACACCAAAGGCACAACCTACACCACCAAGGGCATTGGTTCCACCATTCATAGCTAGACCACCATCTCCGACTCCAAAGATAGTTCAACCCAATTCTCCTTCATCACCAATAAAGTCAGTCACTCCACCACCACCGTCGCCCATTTTCTCAAAACCACCATCACACTCTCATTCACCACAACCATCACCATCACCAGTAGAACACTCATCTCCACCACCATCAATTAACTCTCCGACTTTTTCACCACCAATTAACTCTCCGCCACCACCACCGCGTGTCCACTCCCCTCCACCACCACTAATTAACTCCCCGCCACCACCACCACGTGTCCACTCTCCACCACCACCAATTAACTCTCCGTCACCACCACTTGTCCACTCTTCGCCACCACCAATTAACTCGCCACCGCCACCACTTGTCCACTCTCCATCACCACCAATCAACTCCCCGCCACCACCACGTATCCACTCTCCACCACCACCAATTAACTCTCCCCCACCACCACGTATCCACTCTCCACCACCACCAATTAACTCTCTCCCACCACCACGTATCCACTCTCCACCACCACCAATTAACTCTTCCCCACCACCACGTGTCCACTCTCCTCCACCACCAATTAACTCCCCGCCACCACCACCACGTGTCCATTCTCCGCCACCACCACGTGTCCACTCTCCACCACCACGTGTCCATTCTCCGCCACCACCACGTGTCCACTCTCCACCACCACCACCACCACGTGTCCATTCTCCGCCACCACCACGTGTCCACTCTCCACCACCACCACCACGATTCCACTCTCCACCACCACCAATTAACTCTCCGCCGCCACCACCACCACGATTCCACTCTCCGCCACCACAACGGGTCCACTCTCCACCACCACCACCAGTTAACTCTCCACCACCACCAACTTTTTCACCACCACCACCATCAGCGCCATTATCCCCACCTCCTTATGTATTTCCTCCCATTGTATTCCCACCTATTTTGGGCGCCCACTACGCATCTCCACCACCACCAGCTATTCCAGGCTATTAATTAACAAGTTTTTACATTTTTCATCTCTTATACATGTATTCCTTATTGTCATTAATATGAGTTCAGAGGAATGAAAGCCACTTGATTTGGGTGTCTCATTTTGTCAAATTTTTATTAAGTGCAAACTAGTTACAACCCCCAGTACTGTTTATGAGCCATGTAATGTTATTACTCACACCAATATAATAATAAAAAAAAAATCTCATGAAGACAAATTTTGATTGCTGATATTCGTTTATTTCTTTCTTTCCTGCAATTACAATCACGAGAAGACTACCATCCTGTCACGGAATCATTTCGTGAGAGTTTTTAGCCTTTCGTTATATATAAAAGTTAGTTATTGTAGAGAATCAATGGCTAAAACTCTCACGGAATGATTTCTTGATGGCATGATAGTTTTTTCCTATAATCATTACGTAGAGACTTTCGATAATATTCCAACTTAAACGCCAAATTTAAGTCCATCTACCAAATTCCAGTTTCCAAAATAAAATTGGTTTCATAGAATGGAAAAATCTCATCTTATGACCTAGATTATACTAAGAGTCACAGATTAAAGATACAAGTTTTCTTATCTTACACATGAAATAAAACCTTTTTTCATGAAATTAACAAGAAATGTTTCGGGCATGTTGAGGCCTGTGTTTGTTCATAGTACCTTTAATTTTTTTATTTTTTTTTTTTTATTTACAAAATCTCCCAAATTTTTTTGATTTCAAATAAATTTGGCAAGTTTGTTAATGAGATAAATCAAGCTATACAAATGATTAATTAGTTAAAATAGTATGTTAATCATATTTTAAGAAATCTGATTATATAAATGTAGATAAAAAAAATTATACCATTTGTTAGGAATGTGATTATATGGAAGTTAAAATAAAATAAAATGTAACAAAAAAATCTATTTGTGGTCTTTTCCTTTAAATGTTTGTATTTAAAAATCTAATAACCAAATTTAGATTATCTCACGTAAGGAATAAATAATTAATAATGTTTATGAATATATTTAAAAATTTAATTTTGAGTTTCAAAAAGAGTAAAAGACGGAATAATTTAAATTCGTTTTTAAGAAGTTCTTAAAGTGTTTAATATTCTGGTAAGTATACCCGTAAGAATAATCTTAATATTTTAATTTAAAAAATTTTGGCAAGTTTGTTAATGAGATAAGTTCGGGTAGACAAAAGATTGATTAGTTAAAATATTATATTAATTAATTTTTGAAAATTTCAGCTAGATAAATGTAATTACATTAATTAGTTTACTAGGAATGTGATTATATGGAAGTTGAGATAAAACGAAATGTACCAAAAAAAAATTGCTTTTGATCTTTTCCTTTAAACGTTTGAATTTAAAAATTTAATAACCAAATTTATGTTATATCACGTAAAGAAAAAAATCATTAATAAACATTTCTTAAAAAGATTAATCAATATTATTTATCACTTAGATAACAAATAATAAACAATTACACGTAAGAAAAGAAATAAATAATAATATGTTCTAAAATATAACTTAGAATTTCAAATAAAGTAAAAGGAGCGATAACTCATTTAAAAAAAAAAATTTAAATGTTTAATATATTGGTAAGTATCTCCATAAGAATCATACCATTTTAATTTCAAGAAAAATGGACAAGTTTGTTAGAGTGATAATTCCGGTTAGATAAATGATTAATTAGTTAAAATATTATATTAATTATATCATAAAAAGTTCAGTTAGATAATGTAGATAAAAAATATGTAATGCAAGTAGGTCCTAATATTGGTTGGAAGAAGTCCGTCACATTCCAGTAGAAGGAATACCAAGGAAAGAAGTAGCGGTAGGCTAGCACGTGAATAGGGTAGCTGCGAACCACCCGACCTTCTATTTCCTAACCTTCGAAGCGAACGAACGATTGCTTCTATTTAATCTCCCCACAGAGCGGTGAGTCGAAACGAATGAGTCAAAGCAAGGGTGGTCTACGATTAGGAGCGTATTCTAACCTCCACAAGTCCAAAAGCTGCTCCTAAGGAATGAACAATCGGTTACGGAAACAGATACTTGGTCTAGTTTCTATCTAACTCCGAACGAGTCGGTATGAATAAGTTAGTACGGAAGCAGGGGAGCAAAGTGAGACTCAACAAACGAAGTGAAGTGAAGGAAAGGTGTAATTGACCTGCTTTTGTTGTTGAACTGAGAAAGAAATGTCTTGTTGGAAAAACCAACGCTGGTTTGCTATATCTTTCTATCCTAAAAGACTGGGAATATTGTATATGACTCCGCATGACGGCGGATCTCATCTTGAAGAAAAGATGTTCACAGGGGCCAAAACGACTCGGTCATAAGAATGGTGACCACCTACGTGCGATCCCCGAAAAGAGACCAATCCCTCTAAGAGTAAGCTATTTTATGCTACCACAGGTCCTCCTCTGCCTGGTATTGGTGATTTTGTGTCCCGACTTTGTCTTTTAAGGCTGCAGTTATGGGTTCCCAATTGACCTTTTTCAGTGTTAGAAATATGATGAAAACCTTCACTTTCGAGGATGGGAAGCATAACATTTTCTTCACTTCGCTTCGTTCGATACAATTGACCTATTAATCATTCTTTCTATCAGACCCATTTTTTTTTTTTTTACTTTCATTCGTTTTATTGCATATCTTCTCACAAGTCTTGGCAAACTCTTGGGCTTACCAGGGTTTCTGGCTGATGCTCTTGGGTTACTGGCCAGGACGATCCTCTCAGGGGAAAGGCCTTCAATCGAATATAAGATGGGCGCTCTAGCTCAGGATCAGATGAGGGAAGCGGCTGGGCTGGCTCGTGGATTGACCGATGTCAAAATAAAGAAAATGCTTCGTCGAACCCGAGGTCAATGTAATCTTTAGAAGTTCAGTCATAGAAGTTTGGAAAGAGATTCAACAGGTAAATGGTTGGTTGGGTTCATGGTGCATCTCGGGATATGCTCCAATATGGTGGCTGAGATGGAGGCGGGACTTAACGAAATAGGGCTAAATTTGGCTTGGGAGGAGGCGAGCAAAGTTCAGTTTGTGAAGTGGATGCGTTAGTGGCGTTGGAACTCTTTGCTACTGTTGATGTCTCCGTTCACCCGCTAGGGAGTCTTATAGCCGACGTTGGAACTCTTTGCTACTGTTGACGTCCGACAGCTTCGTAGTCTCATACTCTTAGGGAAGGCAATTTATTGATCACTTAGCCAAAGAGGCGTGTAGCCTTGATGAGGATTTTGAAGTTCTCAGAGAACCACCGCTGCCTCTTGTTCCTTTGCTCGTGGCGGGGGGGTAGTTTTCTATTTCCCGCTATACTCATCAGTCCCTTAAGTGACCAAACCAAGTAAGTCGAGAGCGGGCTGTAGTACCGTTCTCTTGTTGGCTGCAACTCTTGCTTCTATGAGGAGCTGATGAACACTCGATAGATTCTATAGGTGGAATTCTCTTTTTTTTCAAATTCAAAGGGAATCCTCTTAACTAATACTGGTCCACCCAATCAGCCAGGTGTGGGTCTCTGCGATCAGTTGCCACTTAAGTGCAGCCTGAAGATCATGTCCGGAAATCACTTGCTATTTTTTAGTAACCTCTTCAGGCAGGTAGTCAAAGACAGACGCGAACAGGCACAAACCCCCATCACTTTTAGCTATACTACCTTAAGGCTCGATGGAATTTACCTCGCCGGGATGGTCGGGATATTAGGTTCTGGAGAGATTGCTGATTGGAGAAACCCATCATTGATATGGTAGAGTAGGTATGAGTTAATCTAAATGCAAGGGTGCTGGAGTTCATTGTTGATAGGAATCGGCATGCTAATGCGCTTTATGCACAACTACCAGGTAGCTTTGCAGGTCATTGGGTACCCTATCCCACAGTTGAGCTCAGGATCGATGAATATGGATACCTCGAATGGTATATTCACTTTCCGCTCTGAGACGAAAGATGTCATCAGCAAGAGATTCTGAATCAGAAGCGGTCACGAATAGAAAAGGCTGGATCGGGTTTTAGCTAATTCTGAATGGCATCTGACTTACCTTAAAGAAGTGGTGAAGCATCTGGCTCGACTAAACTCTGATCATTGTCCTCTTTTGTTACAATGTGAGGGCATGCGTCATGTTGATATTGCACGTCGACCGTTTAGATTCAAAGTTGTGTGGCTGTCTCATCCCAATATCCCAGCCCGAGGGTTCCAAACCTATCGTAAATGAGTTCCAGTTGGACAACAAGAGAAAAGTAAGGCATAGGAGGACAAGTTGACTAGTTCGAATCGATGTTTAGTGCCATCGTAGGTATTTTTTTGTCCCATCCCAGTTCCAAGAGTAGTAGAAGAACCGGAAGCCATCTAAATCAGCACCAACAAGGTAGATTTGGGATCTTAGAGGTCTTAGTAGCCAATTAGTACAAGTAAAGAAAGCCACTCAGTCGAATAGGTAGAGAGGAGGCCCTCTCCCAGTTAATCTGTAAAAGGCAATCAAGCCAATCCAAGTTGCTCTTCTAGTTATTTGCTTGAATGAGCGAAAATTGAATTAATAATAGATTTTACCGACTACCTATCCTACTGATGGAACTTCTTTAACTGACAAAGAATCTCCCTCCGCATAGTTCAAAAAGGTTGGTTCGCAGACCTTACTACCTAGGTATCTTAACCCTCTCTCAACTCAGAATCTCGTTATTCTGCCCTCCATTGCTTGTGGATAAATCTGACTTTCGTACCCAACGAACGAAGCAAAGTGAAGGAAAGGATCGACAAAGTTGACCTCGACTCCAAGGCTCGATATAATTGACCTCAACTATAAATCCGAGGAGAGGAATGACTGAACTTCGTTCGAGGTAATTGACTACTGCAGTCAGATTATATCAAAGGGCTACCAGCTGCGTCCTTAGAGCCAACCTTAGACCATTCTCAAGAACCCAAGAAGCAAGAAGAAGAGAAATCCCGGCATAGGGTAGTAGGTGGAAAGTCGAGAGAAAGAAAGGTAGGTAACATGACGCTACAAGGAACAAGAGCAATAAAGAAGTCG